CGGTGCAGGCCCTATTGGGCCACCGAAGGGAAGGTCGCAACATCAGGCCAGCGATCGCCAGCTTAGTAGCGACAAACCAGTGCCCCTGGTGCCGCAGTACATTCGCCGACCGACGGACGGCCATCGACCATTTACCAGGGCCGCCGACGGACATGGGATTTGCTACAGAGATAGGAGTAAATGGAACCACTCTGTGATCCCACCCACGTCGTTGGTGTGTCGGATTTGTGACCACGAGGCTCAAGACTTAGAGGGTTTCCACGCGCACACACACGCGCTACCACTCGCCATCCTGGACCCTCTGCTGTCCGTGACCCAAAGAACCAGGGAGCCCACAGCCATGCCAGGGGAGTGTGCCGCAGCCTCGTCAGCTACGGACCGCCCTTCGTGGGGGATCAAGCGAGGCGAAGCAGCTGCAGGCCTGGGCGCCCCCGATCGAGGAGGAACCAAGGACGCGTAGGGAGTGAACTCGCTCAAGGGCGACGCGAGCGGCAAGGGCGGCAAGGGATCGGCACCTCAGGCAGAAAAAAAGGGGGAGCGGCGGCGGCGAGCGGAGGCCGCGAGCCACCGCGGAGGCCGCCGCAGAGAGGAGGCCCCAACGACGACCATGTAGATTTCGCCATGTCGATCTCCAGCCTACAGAAGCTCGCCCTCCGCACGGCCCAGATGACACGGGAGTGGCAGCACCAGTTGGCGGAGTTCTGGTTGATCCCAACCTCCTGTTCGCCATTCAATGTGGGGTCACAAGGGGGGCGAGACTACGCAGCTCAGGTCAGGAACGCAGGCCAGAAGCACACGTACGCCCCCCCGCACGCCCACGTCGCAGTTGTCACCATCCAGGAGATCAAAAAATAGCGCGGCGGCGATGGTGAGGAACGAGGGGGGAGATCGGATCCTGACGTGGACGTACGAAGTATTGCAGCACTGGCTCAACCTGGCGTACCACCCGAAAGGTTTGGAGTTCGTGCTGGAGACGATCAAGCTGTTCAAGATAGCGGAGGCGTGGAAGCCGAAGGGCCAGACGGACGACGGCGAGGGCAAGGGCAAGCTCCTGTGCGCGATCAACCCCATGCCGAGCATCCGCGTGTCCATGGGCGTCGAGACGACCCCCAAGATGAAAGAGGCAGAGATGATGGAGTCAGAGATCCTGGACGAGGGCGAGGAAAAGGACGAGCTCGACGAGTACTCCCCGCTGTGCATGAAGCAGGCGCTGGGCTACGCTCTCACGAGGCTGGGAGGCGCGCGCGCGACGGGGCCAGGGCCGAAGGCAGAGCTGGAGAGGGCGGTGGAGCGCCAGCTCCAGAGCCACCAGGGCAGGTAGAGAGTGCGCTTCCACGTGTTGAGAAATGCTCGCCCAAAATCTCTGGGCCAGCCACAACGCCTGGAATTAGCAGCGCGTCCAGTTCGAGTGGGCCCGCGCCGACAGGGCCCGTCAGGCCCCAGGAGTTCAGCCAGCCATCGAGAGTACAAACGGCTACTGCTCCCGTTCCCGAATCTCGTGGGGAATAACTAGCTGAATCTCTGAGCCGGGACCCCCAGCCCTAGCCAAGCTGCCCAAAAGAGTGAAGGGGGAAGCAAGCAGCTGCACGACCTAGCCTGCAAATATCGAAGAGCACGACGGCAAGGACTACATTGTGAGGCAGTCGGAGCAGGAGGAGGTAAAGGAGGTGGAGGAGGCAAAGACCGACAGGCAGCATAGGTACGACAGCTTCAAACTACTCACGACTGGAATTCAAACGTGGGGGGTACACTACTTGGTACTTACAGTTCTTAGTGGTGAGATGTGGGTGTGTTTGTGTGGATGTGTGCGTTGCGACTGGGGTTTATATTTCGACGGGATGGGGCGGGCGGGGATTGCAGAGAGGTGGAAAGGCATGGGTGGAGGAGAGCTGAGAGAGTAGCTGCCAGGTCTGGGGAGGAGCGGAAGAGATCACGTCGCGCCTGAGCAGAGACAGTACAGCAGGCCCTACTACAGTCAGGGCATAAGGGTGTAAGACCAACGCATGAGGACAGAGCTGATGAGGAAGGGTATAGTGCTTCAGAAAATGAAGTACCTCACACCAGTGACCCCAGCAGTCGGTTGTCTCGGAGACCAGCTCATTGCCATGTTCACGGTAGCCTACTGCGTGGCTTCACGTAGCTGACATCGGACACGACACTACAGTACCCAGGGACCCACTGTAGCTGGACGGTTGGACAATGCGAAGGCGTGTGACGATGCCGTCCCACCACGGTCTGCCTCGGGAGGGATGCTTAAACAAACGAGCCCCTTGCTACCTCCTCTTGAGAGCTCCCTCTGGACCCAGTCGGGGCTCGTCAGGATCTAGGGCCCCTTTCTGCCCCTTTCTTTCCGACTACTGCTACCGCCAGCGGAAATGACCAAAACGACGGTCTGAGGTGTTGGGATGGGGATCCTCCATAGCCCATCTGCTGGCTCACAGCGCATGAGTGGATTCTCCCTTCTGCCGAGAGTTCGCACCAAGCTGGGGGTGCCTGCGCTCCCAGAAGTACCAGAGGCTCCGATGTATCGGGGCCAGACGGAGGAACAGGAGATTGGGGGCGCAAGCTACGTGATTGAGCTGCAGGAGACCAACCTGCAAAGGAGCCGCGAGGTGACGACAGAGATGCTCAAGATCCTCGGGTCGCAGAACGACACCCCGAAGGCCTCCAAGCTGCCGCTCACGACGTGCTTGGCCCGCAGCGCAATCGCCAAAGCGAAGGCGACTCTTGAGATCTACATTGTCGCCGAGAACATTCGTGCCATCGAGGGCCATGTCAAAGGAATCACGGCAGGCTTGGGAAAGCTGATCGAGGCCCACGGAGCGTTGAAGTACCAGACGGAGCTCCCCTTCATCTGGCCATCGGTCAAAGAGTACATAAAGAAGCAAGCCGACGAGACGGACAACATGAAGGAGATCGAGTGCAAGCTGAGGGTTGCGCGTGCCATCGAGATCGCTAAGCGCCAGCGCGACGTAGCCCCGCCTTGGAACGCGTCGGGCCCGACAACTTGGATCTTCTACGGGTGGCAGCCTCCAGAGGGAGGCATCCCAGCCTGGGACAAGAACAAGCCTGAGACGTGGCCATTCTAGGGATGGAAAGAACAGGGAGAGTGGATCGACTTCGACAGCGAGAACACCTCGAAGACTCAGATGCCCGAGAAGCTAGAGGACGCCTTCCCGCCTGCGGTGGGCTACGCTAACAAGCGCAAGATCGAGATAGACAAGAGGATGGAGATCATGAGGGGAGCAATGTCGGCAGCCTCATCGTCGGGAGAGAGCTGAGTGAGCAGAACGCCAGTGACGCAAGCGCCGCAGCTGTGCACTGCCCTTTCTCTTGGGGGGGAGCCTTGCCTCGAGTTGCGGCTTTTTTTTTTGTGTGTGTGTGTGTGTGTGTGTGTGTGTGTGTGTGTGTGTGTGTGTGTGTGTGTGTGTGTGTGGGGGGTGAGAGCGTATGTGTGTGTGTGTGTGTGTTGTGTGAGTGTGTGTTGTGGCCCATCCAAGGATGAGCATGCACTCCTTGCCCTAGAGTGGAGGCGCGGCCCTGGGTTTGTGCCCTGCCTCTCGCTCGTGACTGCCACGACCAGGTAGCGTTGTGCTCCCTGCACGCACCCTCCCCCCACGACAGAGTCCTGGGGGGACGGTGTAGGCAGGCCTATGGCTCCAGCGATAGGCCCTGCATCCATATGATTTCGCAGGGGCATCTTCCAAGCGTTCCGAGTTTCCAGTGCTGGGACTTGGACACCGCCCCCTAAGCGCCTTTACCTTGTTTTACCTCCTCCTCCTCGCGTGCCTCCCCCCCCTCTTTATCCTCGTCCTCCCCGTTATTTTCCTCATCCCCTCCTCCTTCTCCTCCTCCTCTTCCTCCTTTTCTTCCTTCCTCTTCTCCACTTTTTCGCACTCTCGATGCCATCTCCCTTTTTCCTCCCCCATCCTGCCTTTTCCTACTCAGCGCGCTCTCGCTGGAGACATCTCCCACAGGTTGCCAAGTCCATGTGACGCTCCCCCTGAAACGCCCTTGCCATATGCCAAGTGAATCCTGCTCGCGCCTCAGCGCTCGCAACCTCATCTGTCGGACCACGGGTCCCAGACCCATCCCAAAGCACAACTCGGCAACATAATTGTAATCAAATGATTTGTGTGGGTCTGAACCCTGCTCCATCCTCGCTCGTTCCTCTCGGGGCCCAGAATTGTCATAATGTCTCAAGCAAAACGGGCCGGACAACCTCGCGCGCAGCATGTCGAAGCTCCGAATTTCGAGGATGTTTCAAGCGAAACGGGCCAGAGAGCCTTGCGCACACTTTCTCAGAGCACAGAGTTGCGAGGATGTCTCAGGCGAAAAGGGCCTGACAACATCTCGCGCCGTATCTCCCAGCCCAGAGATGCGAATTGTCTTGGGCGAAACGTGCCGGAGCACCTCGCGCGCGGCATCTCGGAACCCAGAGTTGCAAAGAAGTCTCAGGCGAATCATGCCAGACCACCGCTAGCACAGCATCTCGAAGCCCAGATTTGCTAGCACGTCTCAGGCGTGACGCGCTGGACCACCTCCCGCGCGGCCTCTTGGAGCCCCGATTTTCGAGGATGTTTCGGGTGAAACGGGCCAGACCTCGCGCGCGGCACCTCGGACCAAAAATTGTTGAGTATGTCCTGGGCGAAACGGGCTGGACCTTCGCACCGGCGTCTCGGAGCCAAGAGTTGCGAGGATGTCTCAACCGAAACTCGCCGGATCACCTCGCGCGAACCATTTCGCAGCCCCGAATTGCGAGGATGTCTCAGGCAAAACGTGCTGGATCTTCTTGCGCACATCTTCTCAGAGTGTAAAACTCTGAGAATGTCTCAGGCGAAACGGGTTGCACCATTTCTGCGCAGCCCAGAGTTGCGAGGATGTCTCAGGCGAAACGCGCTGGGCCACCTTTTGCGCGGCTTCTCAGAGCCAAGAGTTGCGAGAATGTCTCAACCGAAACTCGCCCGATCACCTCGCGCAAACCATTTCGCAGTCCAGAGGGGCCTGACTACTGCATGTCGTGCGCCGAAGCCCGGGGCTCCGAGAAGGATGCGCAGTTCCTGATCCAAGCTACCTTCGGCCCCACCCGCAGCAGCTTGCAAGAGCTGGGCCAGACGACGCCGCAGGCCTGGGTCAAGGAGCAGCTCGCGCTCCCCGCCGGATCCCACCGCGAGTACTACCGCAAGCGGGTGAGCAGTCGGCTGACTGAGAGCCCGCTGGTCGGATCGCCACGGTCGCGGTGTTCGGCGGGCTCCCGCTGGCATTCGTTCGCCTTCAGCATTGCGGACAAAGGGAAGCGCATCAACGTCACGGGCAACAAGATACATGTCGACGGCGCACTTCGGAGCGACGTCGACCCTGCCTACACTGGGAACGGCATACCCGCTCCTAACAACTGCACCGATGAGCCGAGCAATTGGATGAGCAACAATGGACGGACTTGCAGCTCTGTCAACTCTAGATTCAACTGCGGCAGCGCGGACGCCGATTCCGCGTGGATCAGAGACAAGATCTGCCAGCAGAGTTGTTTCGATGTAGGCAACGGGTACTCTGGAGACGATTGCTCTCCTGGGTGGGCCAACCAGGAAGACTCGGGCTTCATCTGCACGGTCGAGGAGAACTTGGGCGGCGTCGTGACTCTCGGCACTACTGAGTCGTGCGAGGCGTATCGTGCCTACAAAAACCCCGCCATCTGGTTCTCCAGCTCGGCCGTCGAATCCATCGAGTCGCTGAGCTTCCAGGAGGTCAGGCCAGGGGTGGTCGTGCTCGCGGAGAGCTACGGCCAGGATCCTTGCGACTTGGGCCGCTTCGTTTACCACGACGGCCAGTACTACCTCTCCGACCCCAGGCTGTGTCCAGTTTGATGTGATCATGCCGATTCGATGTCGGTTCCGGCTGGCCCGATCCGATTCGATTCCGATATTCCGACGATCCGATGCGGCCCGATGATTACATGGTATTGTTGCGCATCCTGGCGCAGCCGATCCGATCCTCCGCCAGATAAGTATATTCACAGACACCCTCCAGTGGATTACTCCTGGGCCTCAGGGAATGGTGGCGGTGAAGAAACCACTGAGAGCCAGCGACTTTCTACACGGCCACCCTCCCAGAACATCCATGCAAAGCTCGTCGGAGTGTATCTCTGTGTATGTGTATATGTATGAAGTCTAGAAGCATGTACATCATGTGAATATATAGGCCCCCCCCTGGCCTGGGCTGGCCCACCCCGCAACCATCAGGGGAAGCCAGCTGATACCCCTCCCGTTTTGCTCCAGAGGCGCCGCGGAGAGGCCAAGTTGGTGCCAAAACGAGCCAAGAGGGTTCCAAGAGGCCCCCGAGACGGTGCAAGAAAGTTTCGAGCTGCTCAATACGGCCCAGGAGTATTCCCGGAGCACTCCCAAGATGGACCCAAGAGGCCCAAATCATTGAATTCCGATGGGGGAACGTACATTTCTAGCATGTACGACCTTTCAGCTTTCGCGGCTTTCAAGACGGTTCAAGAGGCTTCCAAGACTTCCCCAAGACAGCCCAAGACGTTCCCAAGAGGCCTCCGAGCCAGCCCAAGAGGGCGCCAAGACGGCCCAAGGTCCGCCTAAGACGGCTAAGTTGGCCCCAAGACGGCGCCCAAGACGGTTCAAGAAGGCTCAGAGTCGCCCAAGACGGCCCAAGATGGCCCCAAGACGGTCCAAGAAGGCCCCGAGGCGTCCCAAGAGGCCTCCAAGAGCACTCCCACAATCGTTGAATTTTTGTGTGGGGGGAACGTACATTATATCATATGCGACTTTTCGGCCTTCACGGCTTTGAAGATGGCCCAAGAGGCTCCCAAGACTTGCCCAAGAGAGCCTAAGACACTCACAAGAGGCCCTCAAGACAGCCCAAGAGGGGGCCAAGACGGCCCAAGGGCTGCCCAAGACGGCCCAAGTTAGCCCCAAGAAGGCCCAAGAAGGCCCCGAGTCGCCCAAGACTGCCCACGATAGCCCCAAGAGAGTCCAAGAAGGCTCCAAGACGTCCCAAGAGGCCTCCAAGAGCACTCCCAAGAGGATCCCAAGAGACCAAATTCGTTGCATTCCTGTCGGCGAAACGTACATTTCAAGCATATACGATTTGGGGGTCTTCACGGCTTTTAAGACGGTCCAAGAGGCTCCCAAGCCTCCCCCAAGCGAACCGAAGACGCTCCCAAGAGGCCCCCAATATACCCCAAGAGGGCGCCAAGACGGCCCAAGGGCCGACTAAGACGGCTCCAGGAGGGGTCCAAGAGGGGAACTCCGACTCGAAAGTTGCAGCATTCCGCCCACAGAACCTCCCAGGAGGCCCCAAAAGTCCCCAAGAGGCCCCAAGAGGTCCCCAAGAGACCCCCAAGAGGCCCAAACGAGGCCCCAAGATGGCTCAAGACGCATAGGACGGCCTCCAAGAGGTCTCCCAAAGGGGTCCGGGAATGTCTTCCTGCGGATCGAGGCCCGAGCGAGACCGGGACTGCACTGGGACTGCACCGGGACTGTGTACACACACACACATATATATATATATATATATATATTCATATACATATAGACATATACATATATATATATATATATATATATATATAGACTAGAACCATCGCGCGCTTCGCGCGCACTCAAGTTCTAGCTAGGCTGGATGGTCGAACTCTAAGGGCTTCCTGTTGGGCTTCTGGGGGCCCAGGGCGAGAAATGTTCGTATGGGATCTCTTGGGAGCCTTTTGGAGGCCTCTTGGGGCCGTCTGGACGCCTCTTGGGGCCCTCTTGGCTTGGAGGACATCGATCAAACCAGAGGGGAGGTTCAATTAGGGTCCCTCCTCGGGAGCCTCACAAGTCGCCTCTTGGGGCGCTCTTGGGGCTCTCTTGGAGCGATTTTGGGCACTCCTGGAGCCGTCTTGGGGCTCTCTTGGGTCTCTCCTGGGGCCCTCTTGGGCCATCTTGGAGCCATCTTGAGGCCTCGGATGGCCATCTGAAGCGAAAAGGCGAGAAAGCAAAACACATTGATGTTCCTTAGGTTGTGTAATGATTTTGGCTTCTTGGAGGCCTCCTTGGGGGTCTCGGAGGCCTCTTGGAGCCGTCTTGGAGCGTTCTTGGGGCCTCTTGGAGCATCTTTATCCTGAGCCATCTTGGAGGTCATCTTGGGCTCTCTGAGGCCCTCTTGGAGCCATCTTGGGCGAAAGAGTACCCTCTGACACACCGCGGGGCGGCCCGTCCAGGTCCAGGGGAGGAGGTTGCGGGGAGGGGTAAACCTATCCCGAAGGGGAAGCAGGGGATTGGAAAAGGAAACTCCCTAGACCACCTACGCCCAGAGGGCTGGTGGGATTTCGAGTTCTCCGCCTCATGAAGCTCCCTTGAGGCTTCAAGATGGCGCCAGGACGGCCCCGGGCAGGCTCCAGAGGGCGCCCGAGGCCCCAGACCAGTGCCCCAAGAAGCAACAATCATTGATTTCGCTCGGTTGTGTCCACTGCTTTGGGGCCCCTCTACTCTTCAAGTTTGCGAAAATATACGACTGCCCAAGAGGCCTCCAACACCGCTTCAGGACGAGCCCCGTCGCATGCGCAATTCTTTGAAGAGGTGGAATAGCTTCCCTTGGTCGCCACGATGAGCCGCCTCGGAAGCTCTGCGGCCGACGCCCTCCCAGTACACGCGCCCCCACTCCCGCAGCAGTCTGCGGCGGCGAAGCCCCACCTCTTGGCGGCCAACGCGGTCGCGGCCTCTTCGCCTGACGACATGGCCCATTTCATCCTAGCCTGTTCCAACTCAGCGTCCAAGGCTTTTTTCTCTCCACCACATGCCCTTGCAGCCAAGAGAGTTGGTGCCTTTTTTGTTTCTTACCGAGATCCTCCAAAACAGCCGACTTCACCAAAGAACAGAGTTTAGCCCATTCGGCGGGGCGCCCTAACGCCAGCAGGCGTGTCGCCATGGCGGCCGCACAGCTTTCCCGTTTCGGCTTGGCGCTCCTTGTAGGGCCTACCATGCTGCCATGTGCTGGCCGCTCCACAACTGGGGTGTGGACCACCCACTAGTGCGGCCCAACCAAGAATCACACAGCCGAATGTGGACCTCCACAGGCTCGTGGTCCATATAGGCGGACCATGCCACCGTATCGTCCTCGCGCTCTCTCCATGTATCGTCGCCCGGGGCCCGGCGACGTTTGACTGCGCGGCGGCAGCCCTGCTCCCCTCTCTGCCCAAAGTGCAGGGTCCTACAAACCGTGCAATGCCACTGGTCACGGGGTCTCGCTAAGATATGGTCCAAGTGCTCACCACATCATATTGGCCCTGGCAAAACTCTTTGAGTTCCCGACCCGAGTCGGTGAGCCAGGGCGGACCGCTTACGACTATTATATCGTTGTCATCATGGTCTGTCCGCTGGCCAACTTCCGCGTGGAAGTTCCCACCGGTGACGAGCATATCATTCTGTCCATGACTCTTTCCTTCCACGAACCGGAGCTCCTCGTAAAAATGGTCCCGTGCACGAGCGTATTTTGTTCCAGAGCACGGCGCGTGCACGGCCACTGGGGTTAAGCCACGATGACGGCCTGCGCGTGACATGGTGAGCGCCAGACACCGAGTGCCTTTACGATCATGCCCCCCTAACAACAACGTTGCGTCCCCCAGGCCTCAATTCCTGGGCTATCTCCTCCCTCAAGGCAGCCCCCCTCCTTCCCCCCAGCCACCAAGGTTCATTTTATACCCCCAACGCACATGCTCTGGGACCCCGCTCTGGTGGAAATCGAGATTGATTCATTGCCTGGTCACCCGCACCAGAGCGCTGGGTATTCCACGTACCCCCGATAATGTACTTGATGGTGTTCTTGCGCGATCGGCTATTCCGCCTGAGTAGCGACAGTCTACGCAACGCCAGCGATTGTTTCCCAGCCTTCCTGCATCTCCTTTGTGCCTTCCTAACCTTTCTACGGCGCACATCCTGCGCCGGCACCGTGCACCACCTTTTGGTGTCGTGGAGTCCGAAACGCTCGCTACACAACGACTCGTTTCCCAGGGACCCGAGAGCGGCGCACCTGGACCACTGGCGTCGCTGTTGCCGCTCCCCGCCCCTCTCCCGGGGAAAGGTCCGAGGACCCAACCGCCCCAGGGTGGATGTGGGATGAGGAGGGTTGTACACTCCCGCCCCCAGCCAAGTAGCCAAAGCCGGAAATAGGTTCCACCGGCCACAAACCCGAGCTGGAGCCACTGACACCGAACCTATCTCCACCTGGTGACAGTGAGGCCCCCCCCCCCCCCCGAAAGGGCATGGGTTATCCGTGTCTCCTCCCTCTGACTCCCCTCCTTGACCTCTCATGGCGAAGACTTCCCAAACCGATACACAAAGACCCAACATCAATACGAGGCAAGAGGGAGGGATGAGGTCGAGAGCTCCTGGAGGATGACACGCTGCCCCGGGCGCGGACGGAGCCGCCCGTCCTGAGGTCCTGCAGTGCTCTTAAGAACATACCCTTGGGTCCTTGAGCCCGACCCAAAGGCCGAGCGGCACGAGGAGGCCTGTGTACCAACGCCTGCTCCCCCATCTGCCTGCCAAGCTTCACGATCATCTCAACCTTTGCAAATGTTTCCACTGGCCCGTCGTTCTGGCTTTGCGGCCTCATTTGGATAACCCTGAAACCGAGGGCCCCCACGCGGCCTACCCCATCATGTTCCCAGAGAGCCTTCCAGGAACATGTTGTCGCGACGTGTCCGACTAGGAGACTGGAGAGGAGGAGGAGGAGGAGGCGGCGGAGGCGGAGGAGGAGGAGGAGGAGGAGGATGTGGAGGAGGAGGCAGAGGAGAAAGAGGAGGACGAGGATGAAGAGGAGGAGGAGGAGGAGGAGGAGGAGGAGGAGGAGGAGGAGGAGGAGGAGGAAGCTCACATCTGTGATTCCCCTCCGGTTTTTCATTGTGTTGGGGCTCCTTCATTTCTCAAGCTTCCGGCAATCCTTACGGCCCAAGGGGCCTCCAACGCCGCCTCAGGACGAGCCGGGAGGCACCCAGGAAAACCCCGGGACGGCCTAGTAGGGCTCCTTGACGGCCCCAGGGGCGCCCGAACCGGCCTCGGAGGCCCCAGAGACGGCTCCGCGATGGCATCCCGAGGGGGGAGCGCGAACCGACATGTCGAATCCTGCGCCCTACAAGGCTGCCAGGAGGCCCCAAGAAGGCTCCCAGATGCTGCCACGGGGCTCCGAGAGGACCACAGGAGGCCCCCACGACGCCGCAGAAGGCTCCAAGACAAGACCCTAGATGCCAAACAACGGCCTGCGGAGAGGCCCTTTGCGAGGCCTCCTTCGACATCCCTCCTTCCTTGCCCTGTCCGACCCAGTTCTTACCGTTCTTGTTTCGTTGCCTTACGCCTTACGCATCCCTCGTCCCACTTCGCAGCTGCACCACCATGACAACATCTCCGAATGGCTCATTCTGGCTGTCCGTCGGTCTTTGCAGCAAACTTTGAGGTACCCTGGCAACCCCCACGAGGACTTCAATACGGCCCCCCCCACACACACACATACAATGTTCAGGGGAAATTTTCCGGGAACATGCTTGTCACTGTCATCTCTATCAAGGAGCCGAAGACGAGGAGGACGGTGTGCGCCGTCCCACCGAACACCCCAATTCAGCGCACCGCTTTGCCGTGACCTTTCCAGCCCCTGCCGCTCTCGACTCGAAACCTTGCGCCTCCCCCATCTGCCTGCCAAGCTTCACGACCATCTCAACTAGTACAACTGTTTCCATTGGCCCGTATCTCGTACGTGGCAGCCTCACTTGGAGAACCCCGATACCGAGGGCCCCCCACGCGGCTCACCCCATCATGTTCTCGGAGAGCCTTCCTGGAACATGATTGTCGCCACGTGTCCGACTAGGAGACCTGGGAGGAGGAGGAGGAGGAGGAAGAGGAGGAGGAGGAGACGGAGACGGAGACGGTGACGGAGACGGAGACGGAGACGGAGGAGGAGGAAGAGGAGGAGGAGAAGGAGGAGAAAGAAGAGGAGGGGGAGGAAGAGGAGGACGAGGAAGAGGAAGAGGAAGAGGAGGAGGAGGAGGAGGAAGAGGAGGAGGAGAAATGAGGAGGGAGGACGGGGGAGGAGGAGGGAGGAGGAGGAGGAAGAGGAGGAGGAGGAGGAGGAGGAGGAGGAGGAAGAGGAGGAGGAGGAGGAGGAGGAGGAGGAGGAGGAGAAGGCGAAACATGAACACGGCAGAGAGAGACCCACGCAGGCTCAAGGCGGCCCAGGGGCGCTCCAGACGGCCCAGGATTGTCAACGACACGAGGCTCAGAAACGTCCTCTAAGAGGCCCCCGCGCGGCCTCCGTCGCCTTCCCACCGAACATCTTACAGGCTTTCGACCCGCAGTCCAGGACGGCGGCGGGATCGGCCCAAACCGATTCTGGTCGCCGTCGTAAGCCCCCGCGGTTTTTCCTCACCCTCTTCGTCGTGGCCTTCCCAGTTCCAGCTGTCTTTTCTTTATCTCGGCGTACCTCCTGCAAGTCAGTTCTAAGCTCCACCGCCTCACCCCCATCCCAAGGTTTTTCTACTCATTCTACTGTGCCGTCATACCAGTTTTCCAGCCTCAGTGGGCATGTGTGTCGGAACCTTCCACCATGGCCTCAGCACGGTCTGCGCCATGCCTTTCCTGGAGTGCTTTCTAGGAGCACGATTGTCGCCGCCAGTTTGGAGAGGAGACCGAAGAGCACGAGAAGAGTCCGCGCCATCCCACCGAGCCCTCCAATTATGACCAGCGTTGCCCGGGGCCTGTTCACAGCGGCATCGGGGTCGGGCCTGCGGCCCCGCTGCAGGTGCACTCGCCGAAGACGGTACACCCCCCTCCGCCACGTCTCGCATTCCCTGCCGTGGCCTTCCAGCCCCTACACCTTAGGCGATGCTTAAGAAAACCTCAGTTTTCGTCCAGAGTCTCGATTATTCTTAACTTTTCAATCTAAATCCAAAGATTTTGATAGAAGTTCTGGGTTTTATTCCATTTCTGAGACTATGAATTTCTTAACCCATGATTTCTTAAGCATCTCGCAGGGTGTACCGTTCTTGAGTCGAAACCTCGCTGCCAAGTTTAACCGCCATGCCAAAATTTGCAAATGTCCCACCGGGCCATCCCTCGGGCTCTGCATGGTGACCTCGGGAACGCGGCCCCCAACGCGGCCCGCGCTATCACGTTCCCCGAGAGCCTTCGGGAGCACGGTTGTCGCCACCAGCCCGACGAGGAGACCGAGAAAGAGCAGGAGGAGTAAGAGGAGAACGAGGATGAGGATGAGGAGGACGAGGACAGGAAAACGGCAAACAGAGGCAAATCATGACACAACTCGTGAAAACGAACCAGACGACAATGAGGATGCCGGTCCACGCGGGTCCCAAAGCGGCCCCAGAGGCGCCCCAGACGGCCCAGAAAAGAAAGAGTCCTAGAAACATCCCCCAATAAGACCCCGCGCGGCCTCCGTCAACATCCCGCCGAACATCCAACAGGCCTACGGCCCACGATCCAGGGACGGTGGCGGGATGGGCCGAAACCCATTGCGGTCTGTGTCGTAAGCCCCCCACGTTTTTTCTCACCATCTTCGTCGTGGCCTTCCCAGCACTTGCCGTTTTTGCTTTATTACCTCACACCTCCTCCTTTCCATTTCCAAGCTCCACCTCTTCACCTCCCTTCTCAAGGTTAATCGGATGATTCCTTTGGGCCGTCCTGCACGTCTTGCGCCTCGCTTGGGCGATCGGCGGCAACGCCATGATCCCAGAAAACCTGGCAGAAACAACAAATTGTTGCCGCCAGTCGACGAAGGAAAGGGGGGGCGAGGAGGGGAGGAGGAGGCAGAACACGCATGTGATGATATCGATGATGCTGATGAGGAGGAGGAGGAGGAGAAGGAGGAGGAGGAGGAGTAGAGTAGGAGGAGGAGGAGAAGGAGGAGGAGGAGGAGGAGGAGGAACATCAAGAAAAATAAGGAAGGGAAGAAGGAGAAATCCGTATTCATCCGTTCATTCATCCTTCTTTTCATGTCCCGTCTTCTTTTTGTTGCCTCTCCTGCTTGTCAGTTCCCGTTTTTCCCTGCCTGCCTCCCTCTGTCCCCTGTCCTTGTCTCCCTCCTTCCCCTTCCCCCCGCGACCACGACGACGACGGCGGCGACGACGCCGACGACACCGTCGACGCTGGGATAGGGATAGCGCCTGCCTGCCATGAGAGTGGGTGAGGATATAGTTCGCAAAGAGGAGGAGGAGGAGGAGGAGGAGGAGGAGGAGGAGGAGGAGGAGGAGGAGGAGGATGAGGAGGAGGAGGAGGAGGAGGAGAGGAGGAGGAGGAGGAGGAGGAGGAGGAGGTCTTCGGAGTCGATTCTAACCTAAGCGCGCGTTCGCGTGGTTCTACTATATATATATATATATATATATATATTCGTAATCGTACTCGTGGCGTGCGATCCGATGTCGGTTCTGTGCCGAGCCCGGCCAGGTGCACATCTCGACTCGACCCGAGTAGCTGGCTCATGGCCGATTGGTCTTGCACCAAGGCTGGAGCTGCTGCAGAACGACCTCGCCTCCCCCTCGGGCGGCGGGCTCAACACGAGGTGCCGCGCGGTGACCAGGATTCGACGGGGTCAGGACGAGGATAGATCCGTTCCAGAGCGTTCCAGGGTTGTCGCCCCTTCGTTGAAATCGGCCCAGAAAGGGGGAACCTGGAGCACAGCCGACGACCGAAATCGGCACAGGACTTTCGCCAAACCTTTCAGCCTCCGCGAGTCTCCTCTCGGCGCACGGGGTGAGTCCGCTCCAGAGCGTTCCGCAGCGCTCCCGGAGCGTTCCAGAACGCTCCGAGGAGGCCGCGGCGCCCGAGGCACGCCCCAGACCCATCCGCACCCGAATGTGTCCTCGTCGCGGTTTCGTCTCACAGGACGTTCCTGAACGAGGGCAGCTGCCAGCTCCGCACCGCCTGCGGCGCCGTGGAGGTGGAGGGATCGCGGCCCCCAGCGAGTTTCGCCCTGAACGCCACGACCTTCCAGTTCTTCCTCGGCTCTGCCGAGAGGCACCGAGGGTCCGGGCCTCCCAGGTGTGGTTGGTCAGAATAGATGGGGTCGGAGGGTCGAGCCGCATCGCCGATGCACACGCGATGCGGCTCAATGTGGAGCCCGATTTGCCCCACGCCGACGCCGACGATGCATCGTCGATGCATCGTCGATGCATCGGCGATGTATCGGCGATGCATCGCGATCCTCGGACCCATCTAATCGGACCCCATCTAGAGGCCTCTAGAGGTAGCGAGAACATAGAAAGCAGCACAAGGATAGACTCGCGGAGCTCTGCGCGGATCTCTGGTGTCGGCGTTGGGCCCCCCTCCCCAGAGCGGGGAGCCCGCCAGGGGCGGTGCTGGAGGTGTCGCGAAACAAACAGCGGCATTGACACGTTCATGCCAGCGTGGCGAGTGGACAGTTCAACGGGGCGGCAACAGGCCAGAACGCGGCGAATCCTCGGGACACCCATCCAACTCGCTGCTCCTCCCTGGCGCGCCGATCCGACAAATCTGTACGGAACTCCGAACATGTATGTGTGTGTGTCGGTTGTTGTTCCTCCGACGCTGACAAGATTTGTATCCATACCCGTAGTCCTTTACTACACGGCCCCCGGCGCTAGTTTTTCAAGGCGCCTTTTGGGGAAGCGAGGGTTGCCGGTTTGTGAAGGCAGTTTCGTCAGATCGAAGCTCAGGAGGCGCCGGCTTATTAAAGCGCCTTCGCGTGTTGTTTGCTTTGTTTGGTCAAAGTTCGCGACCGCTCGTTTGCAATACCTTTTTTTGTTTTCCTTTTCGACGCTTTACGAGTCGCCATCAGCATCATCATCATCATCATCATCATCATCATCATCATCATCATCATCATCATCATCATCATCACCATCACCATCACCATCACCATCACCATCACCATCACCATCATCATCATCATCATCATCATTAGCATCATCATCATCATCATCATCATTACCATCATCCCGTAGCCCCTTCGGCTCAAGTGTCTTCTCCAGATCTCGTGCAGGCGCTCACGTTCTGCGGTCAGCGGCGCGCAGTTGGGATATGATCAATGGCCACGGGAGGCTGCCCACAGGAGCGATGGCGGGGCGGCCCATCAGGAGGGTCAGGCGTGTCGGTCCGCTTCCACATGAGGAAGGTGGCCGAGGTGGGCGCCTCGGCGGCCCGCCGTCGGGCACGGGCACGTCTCGTCCTCGCGGCCGAGGCAGCAGTCAGCAAGGCGGGCAGAGGCGGCCCAGGTTCCTGGCAGGACCGCGAGGTTGCTGCGCGCCGTGCCTTGCGCTATGCCGACGCGGCAGGTCGCGTCCCTGGCGCACTGAGGCGGCGGCGGCACGCCGCATGGCACTCGCTACTGGCCCCCGCGCGCGGTTTCGCGCGCGCGCGCGCGTCCGCAGCGAGCATAGCGCGGGCCGCCGCAGGCCCCCGTTCTCTGAGGCGGCCGCGGTGTCCTTCGGCGATTCCGAAGCTGCAGCCGAAGAGCACCGCCAGGCGATCGGTGCCGAGGACGAGGGCCTCTACGAGGGCAGATTGGAGGACCTGAAGGGCATGCTCATGTACAAGGCCGGCCTGGACCTCGACGAGGACGAGGGCATCCGCGAGGGTAGACTGGACGACGTGAAGGGACTGCACAAACGCGAGGTCGGTCTGGACCTGGACGTGGACGGCAGCCTCTCCGAGGAAAGGCTGGGCGAGCTGAAGGCTGCGCACGGGCGCAAATCCCGCCTGGACCTGGACAGCTGGCGCGGGCCTCCGCGAGGGCAGGCTGGAGGACTCGAAGAGCCCGTTCATGCGCGAGTTCGGTCTGGACTTGGGCGCGGACGCGAGCCTCTGGTCACCCCAGGAGGGGTCGTCGGGGACCCTTCGGCAGAACCGGCGCTGCCCACGCCGTTGGCGGAACGGCGGAGCATCGGGGAGGCCACCGAAGACGGCAACCCCCCCTCCCGGAGGAACCTGGGCGAGGACGAGGGCCTATTCGAGGGAAGGCTGGGGGGCACGAAGGGCCCGCGCAAGCGCAAGTTCGGTCTGGACCTGGACGAGGACAAGAACCACTACGAGGACAAGCTGGACGAGGACCTGAAGGGCATGCGCAAGCGCAAGTTCAGCCTGGAACTGGTCGGGGGGGACGGGCTTGAGGACCCAGAGGGCAGGCTCGAGCGCAAGCTCGGCAGGGGCCCGGACGAGGACGAGGTCCTCTGCGAGGACAGGCTGGGCGACATGAAGGGCTTGCGCGAGCGCGAGGTCGGTCTGGGCGAGAACGAGGACGAGTGCCTCTCCGAGGACAGGCTGGAGGACTTGAAGGGCATGCAACAGCGCGAGTTCAGCTTGGACCTCGTCGGGGACGCGCCTCTGCGAGGGCAGACCGGCGGGCCCGAAGGGCCCGTGCATGCGCGAGTTCGGCTTGGACCTGGGCGCGGACGTCGGCCTCTGCGAGGACGGGCTGGGGGGCCCGAGGGGCCCGCGCGCGCGCAAGTTTGGCCCGGGCCTGGGCAATGACGAGAACTTCTGCGAGGACAGGCTGGAGGACCTGAAGGGCATGCGCAAGCGCAAGTTCAGCTTGGAACTGGTCGAGGAAAAGGGCCTCTGCGAGGGCGGGCGGGAGGGCCTCGAGACACCGCGCGGGCGCGAGCGCGACCTGGAACTGGGCGAGGACGTGGGCCTTAGCTTCCTTTCTGCGGACAGGCTCCTGGAGGCGGGGGCCGCCCCCCGCGTCGCCTTCGCGGCGGCGAGCACCCCCCGGGGGCCCCGCTCGAGGCCCCGCAGGCCGCAGACGACCCTGAGCTCGCGCGATGTTTCTGGCAGCGCTTGCTGCGTGCCAGCCTGCGGGCGTCGCGAGCTGAGTCGCCGCGACTGTCAGGATGTCGCATCTTGCTTGCGTCGGCTGGGGCGGGGGGCGGTCTTTCGGCATTCGGGTGAATCTGCGAGGGTGCCATGGGCGCGAGACTGAGCGTTGCCTCCGCAGGGCCAAAGGGGAACGCCTCGGTCCGAGGGACATTCCGAGTTGCGAGCTCCTGACCCCTTTTCAGCCGCGTGGATCATCATCATCGTCGCCACCACCATCACTATCAACATCACCACCGCCATCGTCATTAGCATCGCCATCATCACCACGATCATCCCCATCGCCATCATCATCACCATGATCGTCATCATCGTCATCATCATCACCATCCCGATCAGCAAGGCCAACATGATTATACATTTATCATTGCCTTGTGCGTGATCCCAGACGCGCGCAGCTTCTCGGCCCTAAGATCGCCTCGCTTGCCCCCCGTCACTCCCCCGCAGCGCGCGCGGCCGCGGCGCCGAGGGCCCTGCGCCCGCCATCGCCGCGCAGGCCATTTTGACTAGTACGAGGCGTTGCTATTCCTCTTGGGCTACACGCGGGTCGCGGCCGCGGGCAGTTGCCCCGGCGCTCCGTGCGCCTTCGGGCCGGCCCGGGCTCGCCCCGGTGCCCCTCGGGCCCGAGCTCGCGCGGGGCGCGGCCGATTGCCTCCCTCGGGCAGTCGGCGGCGGAGAGGGTTCACTTTTGTTTTTCCGCTCGGGCGCCGCTGCGCCTGGCTGCGCGCGCCCGCGCTATATTGGTTCGGCGCCCGCCAGTCTTTCCTAGCGGAGCCTCGCCCTGCTCGCGGGTCGCCCGCGCTCCCGCCAGGCGGCCCAGCCCTGGGCGCCTGTCGTCGCGTCGCAGCTCCCTGCGGCGCCCGCGAAGGCGCGCCCGAACCCCCCCCCTGGGGGCGGCGGGCGCCGGGAATGGCGAGGTGGAGGAGGAGGAGGAGGAGGAAAAGGAAAAGGAGGTGGAGGAGGAGGAGGAGGAAGAAGAAGAAAAGGGCGCTCACTCGCCGTGCACCTCGGCGCGTTCCGGGCGCCGGAGTCGACCGCGGCTCGGAGCGCACCGCCCGCCGACAGCCGAGCCGCCATTCATTCAGCCCGCGGCCGCCAGAGGGCGCCCGCAGCCGCGCGCGCCTCGCCGCCCGCCGCCCCGCGCTGGACGGAGAAAAGGCGCGGGGGCCCACGGCGCGAAAACGATTGCGTTCGGGATGGAGGAGTCCGAGTTGATGGGCCCTTCTGACCTCCGCCTCCTCTCCCTTCCTTCCCCTCCCGACGCGGCCTCGCCTTGGGTCCACTGCCTCGCTGGGCAGCGCGGCCCTCGCGGGGGGGGGCCGCCAGGCGCGCTTCCCCCGCTTCTGGCTTTCGGGGCGCAGGGGGCGCGCCCTCCCGAGGTCGCCCGCCTCGAGAGGCTTCGGCCCTCGCCAGCGCCCCAGGCCCCGCGGCGCGGCCCATGGGCGGGGCCTGGGGCGGGCGTTTGTTCCCCCGTCGCCGTTGGGCTCTGCCGGGTGGGGAGTCGCCCCCACTCTTGAGCTGTCGAAGTCGGGCGTGGCGGGGTCTCTGCTCGATCGGCGGCCGCGGGCGACTTGCCTCGCGCGGCGCCCCCCGCGCCTGCTCGGGCGGCGGGCGGCGCGGCCCCGGGCGGAGTCGAGCGGGCAGGCGCGCGGCGCCCAGCGATGCTGCTACGGCCCCGCAAGGAGAGTTTAGCTGAGCTTCGCTTTGCTTTCTCAGCTGCCGCCGCGGCTCGCAAGCTCGGCGCCCCGCCGCAGAGCAGTCCGAGGGCCGCCTCGCCCTCGCCTTCTGGCCCCCCCATCGGAGCCGCCGCCGATGCCGCGCACCTGGCGGGCGGGCGCGCCGCGGGGCCCAGCTGCCGCGCAGGTCAGGGTCTACGCGGCGCAGCCTTCACGTCCGCTACCGATCGGAAATCCGCGCGGGCCGCCTCTGTCAGCGGGCGCGGGCCCGCCCCCGATTCAGCGAACCTCGCCCCTGCCGCCCTGCCCCGGGATTGCCATCGCTCTCGCTTAGCTTTCGCTCTGGGTGCGCGGGGATGCGCCCGTGCCCGACTTGCCGCGGTTCTGGCAGACAACACCGTCCGCGAGGTCCTCAGGTTTGTTGACCTCCCCGCGCGGCCCTCGCCGGCCCCGGCCGGGCGGCTGCCCGGCGTCAGAGTTGGGTTCCGG